CCAGCAAAATCGTCAAAACGCATCATGCCTCCAGGCACCAGCATGTGCGTGCGAGGATGATAAGTGACTGGATCAAAGGACCGTATCCTCAATGGTAGTGGCTCAGGCTTGAGCCCTGGAGCCAACTCTGCCTCGAAGTCGGCTGCAATGCCCTCTGACAGCTCCTCAACCTCAACAAGTGGTAAAAGTATAGGTGTAACCTCAGGACGGGCGTCATCATGAGGAAAGTCGTCTGCCATCTAAAAAGCGGGTGAAGACTGGTGAAAAAGTGAAGAAAATGAAGAAAAATAGAAAAAAACTTATAAAAAGTCAACCCTAGGAGAGAGAAAATGGAAGAAAAAGTCAAAACCTGAGAAAGTTCACAAAACCCAAGAGAATTTCAAGGGAAACAAGCTCAATGTGGTGAAAATGCAAAAAAATCAATGAAAACAAAATCTGATCGGCTCAAAGTATAGAGGATCAAAGAGGGTTTACGAATAAAGTTTGCATGGGGTGTTGGAAAACACGCACAAAGTACAAATCTAGAGAGAGGAAGCACCTAAAGAGAGAATGAGGATGATTTCGACCTTGGGTGTGTGAGGAAATGAAGTGTGGTGATGTGTATATAAAAACTCGTGTCAAAAGACGAATCTACTCTAATTTTTACATTAGGCCTCGTTTGTGGCCTAGTACTATTTTTGTTCCTCTTTTGCCCTAACAGTGTATAGGAGGTTCTCTTCTAGGTTCAGATTGATTTTTGAGGAGCTCGAAACTGTGTCCCGATTGTGCCGTTCCCAATACCTGTTATGTTCCGGTGCACGAATGCACCCCACTTGCTAATATGAATGAGGTGTATCCCTTTTGAGCATGTTGCAAAGTCTCTGAGGGGTAAGTTGGAGGTTGTCCCCAAACATCGCCTTTGTTTGTTCTATCAAATTATGTATTTGTTCTCTTCTGTTACATAGAATGTGCGTTTTCATATACACTTATGTTGCACGCGTGCCCTACATCGTTCATGATTCATGCATAGAATATGCTCTTGTTTCTTGTAGCCTTGCATAAAACATGCCTTCACTTAACATCATATGTCGGTTGTCTATAGTCTTGCATAGAACATGCCTTCAATTCACATCATATGTTGGTTGTCTATAGTCTTGCATAAAACGTGCGTTGTCACTGTATTGATTTGTAATTTTGTTCACTTTGTGTATCTATCGCACTCATTCATTTTTGTGCATCTATCGCACTTGTTCATTTTTGTGCATCTATCGCACTTGCTCATTTTTGTGCATCTATCGCACTTGCTCACTTTGTGCATCTATCGCACTTGTTCACTTTGTTCATCTATCGCACTTGCTCACTTTGTGCATCTATCATACCCACTCACTTCATGTATCTATCACGCTTGTTTACTTCGTGCATCTATCGCACACTTTCATTACATTGTGTATTTATTGTACAAATCTCATACTTTTTACATCTATCTCAAGACGCATGAAACGCGACCCTGAGCGGTTTTTATCTCAGGACGCGTGATGAGTGGTTTTTCTCCTCTTCTTACGATTAGAGCGTGATTGAAGTATCTCAGGACACATGAAACGCGACCCTGAGCAGTTTTTCTTCTCTTCTCACGATTTCAGCGTGATTAGAGTATCTCAGGATGCATGCAACGCAACCCTAAGTAGTTTTTCTCTACTCTTCTCATGGCTTTGGCATGGTTAGAGTGCGTGTTTTTAGTTACTCCCGCGTGAAACCCATTTGTTGTTATCTTGTTATTGCTTATTACATTTATTATTGCTTAGTGCATCATCACACATGATCATAAGTTTTCAAAATAGCCGGCTTTGTGAGACGTGTGAGTCTAGCTTTCAAAGTATATTTTTCGTGCATATCATTTGCATCCTGCCCTAGAACTATGCTGGTTTGATTCCTTGCAAAGGGATACATAGGCAACTTGCGAGCTCAACCAATTTTATTTATGTCTTGATTGTTTGCCCAAGTCTTATGGCCTTGTCAAAATGGGTCGTCTTTCAAGCTTTGACATTCACTCATGTCATTTCATGACTTCGAGCTTTGTCAAAGAGGGGTAATTGTAGACATCCTATTTTTGACGGGCCTTAAGACTTGGGTGCCACCTATTGATCACTCAATAATGAATGTGTATGCTTGTCAAATGCTCGATTGCCTCAGTAGGAAACCTCAGTCTACAAACCTTGTACCTTGTTTTGGACCAAAACAATGATTTTTTCAGGCCTGAGCATCAAAGGACCTGTAAACCCACTAGTATGGCATGCCGCCCACTATTAGTGGTTTGTCGGCCACTAGTGTAAAAACCAGATATTTTCTACCAGTTGTCACCGCAGATGCATGCACCATTCCAGCTGTGTTTGTATAGATATTTTCAAGAGTCTGTCATATATTTCTATATATAGATGACCCTATCTTTTGTTAGAGAGGTTAGAAAAAATTTTAAATTTAGAAAATTTTGGAGAGCAAAATTTTGGAAAATTTCTCTCTTTATAATTCTCTCTATCTCTCTCTCTTGCAACTTACATAACTTTTGGCTAAATACTTTAAACCAAACCTAGAGAGTTCCTTGCTGAGGTGATTTGAGCTTGCATTTTAGCTCTTGAGGCTCTTGAGAGTGTAAAATAGTGGTTTCGAAATTCAAGGGACCATTCCTCTTCAAGACGTATATCTTCTAGTTCTTTTGTACCATTTTCTTCTCATCTTTTCTTGCTATTTTTGAGCTGTTTATTACCTGTATTTTTGGACTGAAACTTGTGGTTTAAAGTCATTAAAGGTAGAGGGGTTGACAACCCTTCTTTGAACCTTACTTCTAGGGCATTAGCCCTTGTGTTTCCCATCTTCTCATCAAATTTTTTTGAACTTTTTACCACTAATTTTTAGCGGTTTTTCAGAGGCTAAAATCATGTTTTGAAGTTCTAAAAGTGGAGAGGTTAGCCTCCCCACCTTGTGCTTATGTGCTAGTTTAATCCCTCAATATTTTAGCTAGTTGTTGTAGTTGTTATTGTCTTAATTTTGTAGACACACCATTTTTTACGGCTCCTATGACTTGGACGTCTTTGCAGGTACACCCGATGATGAGTCTGTTTGCTTGCCAAGTTCCCGAAGTCCTTAGCGGAATGCCACAGATTTAAGCCTTTCAAACCCTGTATCCTTTTTGTCTCATTTTTGAACCATGCCTTGGTCTTTCCAGCCTGCAACCTCTAGTGACCTGTCGGCCATCCCTGGAGGCTGCCAGCCATCATTTTTGGTTTGCCAGCCATTGATGTGCCTTGTCGGCCCTCAATGATGCCATGCCAGCCACCACTGATGGGCGGCCGACCACCAGTGTTTTCTGCAGATATTTTATGCCAGCTGTTTGCACAGATGCATGCACATGTCCACACGTGGAGGGCTGGATCTCCTTGTAGAAATTTCATGTTTTCTATATATAGAAACCCCATCTCTCTTATAGAAGGGTTAGAAAATTTTAGGCTAAAAAATTTTTCTCTCTTTCTACAAATTCTTTACACTTTTGCCTACTTACACTACATTCTTGCCTTCACTTCCTTAACCAAATCCTCTCACCTTTGAGATGAGGTTCCTTGAGACCTTCTTGGAGCTCTTGAAGTTGGTTTTGGCTTAAATTGTGGCCTAGAGTTACTCTTTGCTTCAAAAGGTGTGATACTTGGTTTATTAGTTTGCTTTACATACTTGTTTTCCTATTTTTTTCCCACTGTTTTTGAGCTGTTAAAAATTCTGTTTTTGTGGGCTGAAATTGGTGCTTTTGGCCATTTAAGGTTAGGGGGTGGTTCACCCCTCTTCATTCCTTGTTTATAAGGCCATTTCACTTTTGTTTTCCATTTTCAAACCATCTTCTTTTTTATTTTCCTTTAAACACTGATTTTCAGAATATTTTTAGTAGTGAAAATCAAGTTTTGAAGTCCAAATTTGGAGGGGGTAGTCTCCCCTCTTTGTGTCTTGTTTGTTAGCCTAATTGGTGCCATGCTTTAGCTTATTTTTCTAGCTTGTTGTAGCTTAATTCCAGCATGCTTTAGGCTCTATTTTGGACTATTTTAACTCTGTTTTGGGTTGGTTATTGCATTTGAGTCTTATATTGCATAGTTGTAGTGTAACAGTCCTTACAAGCTTGGTGTTTTAGGTCATTGGACACCACTTGTTTGAATTGATTGCATGTTTTTAGTGCTTTTCACACCTAATTTCAGCACTAATCATCTTTGCAACCTCCCTTCTTTCTTGACTTTTAATTTTACTTTGAAAGTGGTTTCAAGTCACTTGCTTGCCTCAGTATGAAATTGAGGTTTCATACTTAATGGTTTAATCCCTTAGGGGCACTACAACAAAAAACACATTTGGCGACCCACAAATTTCGTCGCCAAAAGAATCGGCGACAAAATACACAACTTGTCGCCAAAGCCCTGTCACTAAAAGTATTGACGACGAAATCAGAAATTGTCACCGTATGTAGACATTTAGCGACAAGCAAAATTAGTCGCCAAAAATCATATATTTTGTCGCTATAAAATTACAATTTGTTGCTAAAAGGTTAAAATTTGGATAAGCTATGTACTTTTAGCGACAAATAAATGCGTCGCCAAAAGTACTATTTAACGACAAAATTAATTTGGTCGCTAAAAATCACGTTTTTAGTGACGAGTAAGTTTTGGTTGCTAAAAGTTCCTGGAATAATCACCAACTTTTAGCGACAAAAACAATATGTTGTCGCCAAATATATTAACGACGACAAAAACACCACCTGTTACTAAAAATTCACTACACAAATTTTTTATTTTAATAATTTTCCTGTTCAAAATAATCCAAAACACCTATTTTCCTGTGCACAATATATACACAAATGTAATGTAAATAATAATACACCTGTGCAAGACATTCATACTAATTCAAAATTAATAACTATGAAAAATCCCAATAAACATAATTACAATTCTCTGACAATCTAAAACATGCATACCAAAGTACTTACAAACTACTAATATCAAACCCATAAATACATTACCAAATCCTATGTCAAAATATTTTCAAAATTACAACCAAATATTTTAATGTTAAACATCTAACCAACAAGTCATTTACTAAAATCCTATATCAAAATATTTGCAAAAACACAACACCAAATATTTTGATGCTAAACATTTAATCCATAAATCATTTACCAAAATCCTATGTCAAAATATTTCCAAAAACACAAAATCAAATCTTCTGATGCAGCCCAAACTATTTTCCACCATTGCCAATCTGTCACATGAAAAAAAAAAAAACAATATTAGATTGACAAAAAAAAAAAAAAACGATATGAACTTCACAATTTTGATTTTAATTTTGTAACAGGAAGTCCAATCGGGTGCTATTTGCTCATACAACTCTATTTAGGCTTGAACAAGCTACCCGTGCCAAGTTTCGGTGGTTTCAGTGGTCATTTTACAATTTTGGCCCCCAGTGGTCATTTCGCAATTTCGGCCCCCCGAACGGGGTCTTTTAAGTCTTGTGTTTTACAATTTTGCTTCTAATTTTCTAATCAGAAATCCAATTGAGGTCCTGTTTGTTTCTACAAGTCTATTTAGGCTTAAGCAAGCTGCTCGTGCAAAGTTTCGGCGCTTTTGGTGGTCATTTGTATCCATACACTGCTCGGGCCCTTTTAAGTCTTGTGTTTTACATTTTTCCTTCTAATTTTTTAACCGGAAATCCGATCGAGGTCCCGTTTGTTCCTACAAGTCTATTTAGGCTTGAAAAGGCTATCCGTGCCAAGTTTTGGTGGTTTCGGTGGTCATTTTGAAATTTCGGCCCCCGAACGAGCATTTTAAGTCTTGTGTTTTACATTTTTCCTTCTAATTTTTTAACCGGAAATCCAATCGATGCCTCGTTTGTTCCTACAAGTCTATTTAGGCTTGAACAAGCTGTCCGTGCCAAGTTTCGGTGGTTTCAGTGGTCATTTCGCAATTTCAGCCCCCGAACTGGGCTTTTAAGTCTTGTGTTTTACAATTTTCCTTCTTACTTTCTAACCGGAGATCCAATTGAGGTCCCGTTTGTTCCTACAAGTCTACTTAGGCTTGAACAAGCTGTCCGTGCCAAGTTTCAGTGGTTTCGGTGGTCATTTCACAATTTCGACCTCCGAACGGGCCTTTTAAGTATTGTGTTTTACAATTTTCCTTCTAATTTTCTAACTGGAGATCCAATAGAGGACCCGTTTTTCCTACAAGTCTATTTAGGCTTGAACAAGCTGTCCGTGCCAAGTTTCAGTGGTTTCGGTGGTCATTTCGCAATTTTGGCCCCCTAACGGGCCTTTTAAGTCTTGTGTTTTACAATTTTCCTTCTAATTTTCTAACCGGAGATCCAATCGAGGTCCCGTTTGTTCAACACAACCAAACATATTAAATGAAATGCTTGTAGTGATTTGAAAAGTAAATTATGAAAAATATACTTACAAAAGTGTTTGTCAATAAGATTCCTCTGATGAATAATCATTTTCATCAACCTGCATGCCTGCTTGATCCTTGGTCTTCCTCATAAACTTCTCAATCTCTTCAAATCAAGTTGATTATTATGGATTCAAATGAAATCAATAAAAATATTTAAACTGGGCAAATTGAGGCATTATTTTGTGGGAACAAGATTGTCAAAGCTATTAGTGGCAGGTGCTTGATGTATATTGGATTACTGTAGATGTTCTCAATAGCACCCATTATCTTGGCTTTTGCACATTGGTTCTTACATAATAGTGATGTAGTAAACTGAAAAGAGAGAAGAAAAAAGTGCAATTATACTGAAAAGATCCCATGCAAAATAATCATAACGTGTCACACCTTTAAGTTCTATGACAGCTATCTCTGTACCAGTCAATGCTTTTTTTGATCCAGCAGGGTAAAAACCTGTATCCACAAGTTGTTAAGAATAGCTAGGAAATGGTAATAGATTACATAAAAAAAAAAAATTAAAACTAACACAACATATACCTTTCAACTGTAAAGGTTTTATAACAAAACCTAGAATAGCAAATGGAACCATCACAATTGCCTCCCCAAAGAATGCAAAACGCCAATTCCAGTGACCTGCAACCCTTACTTTGTTGTTCCCCTTGCATCTTGTCTAGCTTATACATTGGCATTGAGCTTTTTATACAAGAAAAGAGACTCGACATACAGGACTGCATCTCGACCAATTTTAGTAACCTGTACTCATTAAAGCAACTGTCATTCTGTAGACCACTCAGAGTCCTGGTATTCTAGATGAAGATATGCAATGCAGAGCATCAATTATGATAAATTCAATCAAGATGTAGCAGGTATTTGTTAATATAAATTTTGTGAAATAAATCACTGAAAATAGAAAGGATTATTGTTCTAGAAGTGTCCACGTCAGTACAGAAATAATTCACAGGGTTCTTAAACATCATACATAATTTAAAGAGTAATCATATTCACCAAATAAAATCAAACTAGTATATTAATTGATTCAGAACATTAAATAACTAGGACAAACTTCCTGAAATATATTTTTAGCTCATTTGATGGCAATTTAATAATCATTCCAACATTGTGACTCACTGCAACAGGATTTTTCATCTTTCCTCATCCAGCATGAAAAATAGTCATTGATGTAAAAAAGTGAATGACATCACACATTAGAGTCCTAGGACAACAAGAAAACAGAAAGTTGCCATGTTAACTTATGACATGTGGTTTCCCTATTTGTATGAGCATGCAATACCTAAATGAGTAGGATGACAATTGAATACCTCTTCGGGCTTATGACATGTGGTTTCCCTAGCCTGTTGTCTGTTGTCCTGGCTTTCTTAGCTGTGAGTTTCTCAGCTATTTCCTGGGTTGACCAGTGTTGTGGGGGTGGTGTTTGAGTGTATTTGTAATCAGAGATGTGTCCTTTTCTACTAACACTTTGCTTGCAAGTTCTAAGCTGGTACTTTGCTTAGGGATGGTGGGTTGAGTTGGTGAGGCTTCAAATTAGGTAGAGTGTATTTTGTGAGTTGTGGGTTGAGTAAAGTGAGCTCTAAAAGTCTCTGTATATTTGTTGTTTCTTGCTGTGAGGGTTGAAGTTGCAGGTTGATCTGCCCTCTTCGTTATGGTCTCCTTTTCTCCATATCCAGGGTATTGAAGTCTCATTGGCTAGCTATGTGCTGTTTTGAGGTGTATCCAGGTTGGTTCTAGGTTGAGGCCTGCATAGAAAAGTTGGCTGCTATCCTACTTTTCTCTAGTCTACAGCCTATGGCAGATTGCAAATGCAGGTCTTTACAGATCTTCTACCCTCCTAGTCCAACTTTCTTCTCTGTAACTATAGCTGTTCTTTCTCTACTAAACATAAAAAAACAACAAACCAGCACCAGTTCCACTAGCAGCAACAGCAGTACAAAACAGCAGCACAAAACAGCAGCCTGAAGTTAACCTCCCCTGTGTGACACCTCTGTACACAGCAATAGGCAGCTATACAGAAGCTGAGCTAGATTTGAAGCTGCAGCTGTGAGATGGGCATGAGTGCTGCTGATATGGTGGTGGCACTGATGTCTTAGACTGTAGCAGGATAAGCTGTGACTTCGGCTACTGCTGTGTAGGCTGTATATTCTTATCAGTTTTCAGTATATATATATATACATATGGTATATAATTATCGTATATGTGTATATTTGTTTTGGTGTGGGCTAATGAGTTTCTTCGACTAGTAGGGTGTAGTGGCATAATAAGTGGTATTATGAACTTTTTGGCTCAAGTGTTTCAACGATAGTCATGGTGGGAAGCTAACGGTTATATGGTTGGTGTACTTGATCACTATACAGTTTAAAAAGAAAAAATCTTACCAAGAAAAATTCAGAAGATTATATTTTGTTTAAGTGCACGTTTTTGAACCCTGGTTCTTTCAACTTTTGGACCCAAAAAAAAAGAAGGGTATTTACACAGTGATCCCTTAAACTATTGTTAAGGATCCTTTTGACCTTCTATATTAAGAAAACATACAAACTGACTTTCTAAATTATGGATATTATAAGAGGGAGAGGTCAGTTTGCAGTTCTATTTTCTCATTTCTTGGTTGAGCTTGTATATAAGAGTTGGCTGCTAGTTCTCAGTTCTACAGTTTATAGCAGTTTGCAGCAGCAGATTGGGTGTAGATGTGTCCATCCGAATGCTTGTTGCTTCTGTTAACTAATATCTAATAAAAGGTCCATAATTGCTCATGTAAAATCAGTTTAACTCATTACAAAGAGAGTTTTGAATATTAATTAAGTTCCCATAACTTGAGATCAATTTAAATCTATAAATTTTAATTTGATTTACAATCCAAATTTACATATCCAAACAGAGTTAAATTGGAGTTAAATCACATAACCTTTTTTTTTTTTTCTTGTGTTCAATCGGTCATAGATTAATTTCAAATAATGATTATATCAATCAAGACAATACTCTATAAAAGTTAAACAACAACCTCAAACTACATAGTATTGCTTATCAATAGGCCAAAAATCCTTACTCACCTACCCATTTTCTTTTAACCATCGTGTTTTTAATGACGGCATGGATAGAAAAACTTTGACAGATAACTTTCACAAATGATTGGAAATATTGACATAAAATACAATATAATATCTACTTTTAGCCAATGTTATTGCCATTTTACCATAAACCATAATTTTTTTTTTTGAAAACAAAAAAAAAAAAAAATACCAGAATCCTTTTTTTTTTTTTTTTTGTGCTGGCTGCTATATATAGCATATTTGTTTCACCAAACTTTTAATCTCCTTGGTGAGTTCTCATATATAATAACATGATAAATTTCAAATATAGTGGTTTTCTTTATCTGTACATATATATAAATAAATATAGATATAGATATAGATACAAATACAAATATTAAAAAAACTCACAAGAAAACAATATACAAGTGTAGTGAGAGTCAGCTAATCATGTTGTATTTGTATTTGCTGTTATGTTGTTATTAGTATAGGAATATAAAGAAGGAGAGCTAATCATTTTTGTAGACTTGACTATATTGGGGCTGGAAACTTTCTTAATCATAGGCTTTATTATAGACAACAATGTACAATAATATATGGAAGTTTGTTTGGGGTGTATACCATATGTCCCAATTACAACCTTTGTAGTTTTGGTTATGACATATTATGGTGTTAGTCATAACTAGGTTATGACTTGGTTATACACATCGTGTTCTTAGTTATGACTCATTGTAATGTTAGTTATGACATTATTTTGATTATGATAAAAAAATAATAATAATAATAATAAAA